TTTTCAACCGATTTTGATGATTTTTGGCTGAAAATGTAGTTTTTTTTAAAGAATTTTTATTTTTATTTTGAAAAATTGGAAAAAAAATTTCTAAAATCCCTAAAAGTTTTCCAAAAAAAAATTTGAAAAAAAATGTATTTCTACACCCCGATTCCTTTTGTCCACTCCAAAGAATCCTACAAAACTTAGCTTTTTTTGTATGTCTGTCTACAGTTTTTCCCTTTTTTTCTCTAAATTCTTTTTTTTTATTAAATATGTAGGTCAAATAAAAAAAATGTGTCCGCCTACAATATTTATCTTCCCCCTCCTCCCAATCGAGAGCCGCCGATTTTTTGACGTCATTTGACACGGAAAAATGAGATATATCCAATTGAGATAGACACATTTAAAAGTGGATACCTGTGATTTTTGTAATTTGAACAAAAAAAAGTTGTGTAGCTAAAAATATTTAAAAATTAAAAAAAAATTTTTTTTTGAAGTTTTCGAAAATATGGATTTTTTTGAAAACTTTTTTCTGGATTTTTCGGTGTTCAGAATTCGAAAAATGAACTGAAAAAATTTTTTGAGTACTTTCAGATCAAATTCCAGCATTTTCAAGATTTTTAGAGAAAATTTTTTTTGAAAAAAATTTTTTTTTGTTGAAAATTATTCTCTGAAATTTTTTAATTTTCCTGAAAAATCCCCGATTAAAAAATTTTCATAAATATGCTCAAAATGATGATGTTCTTCAAGTTCCCCTATAATTTGGTGTCCTTTTCTAGGAAAAACAAAAAATATTATTTTTGGATATATTTTTCAAAAAATCACATTTTTTGAAAATTCCAAAAATAAGGTGATGTTATTTGAATATCATATACCTAGTAATTTTCCTCAATTTTTAGATTATAAATAACTTTTTTACCTTAGCTCCGCCCACTTGATTATTCCCAAATTGATTATTTTCGTTTTTTTCTCTTAAAATTTCCGATTTCTACTCTGAAATTTCTGAAAAATGAGATCTTCTAGAAGGATGACGGAACTCATCAGCTCAGAAATGCTACAACAGGTTGAGGTAAAAAAATTAAATTTAAAAAAAATTTTTTTTGAAATTTTTTTTTCAAAATTTCTAATTTTTTCAGGTCCGCCGTATGGCCGTTGACAATGAGGGACCACATGAACGTCGTCGAAGCACGCCTACAGTATCTAGAAGGCCATCACTTCAGAAGTAATTTCTAATTTTTTAAAAATTAATTTTCAAAAAAAAATTTTTTTGATTTCTGAACTTTTGAGATCATCATCATGATTTTTACCATCTGATGATGACAAACGATTGCTCAGTAGGCGGATTTTGTTTATATAAATTATAGGCAAATCTCCAGATGGTCCAATCTCAGAATTTTTTTCCCCCCATCCAGATGGTCCAATCTCAGAATTTTTTTCCCCCCAATTTTCCATTTCTCTTCAGATCCAGAATCATGGAACCACGGACCGATGTTTGGCCAGAAGCCAAGAATTCCGGATTGGAGGAGAGATTCTTGAAATTGCCCGATTCAGAGGACTACACCAGGTGAGAAATGTTGAAAATTTTGAAATTTGGAAATTTTAAAAAATTCCAAAAAAAAGTTGGGATCATAATTTTTTCAAATTTTCCAACTACCGTATTTTTTTTAGAATCAAAATTTTTGAACCAACTAAACTGGATATGATAGAAAAACTCAAAAACTACAAAATGGTGTTATTTGGAATACTGTAGCTAATTAATGACCAGAGTTAGAAGCCAAAAAGCATTTATATTTTATATCTTATATCTAGCTCTTGAGTTTTTCTATCATATCTAATTTAGTTGGTTTAAAAATATTAATTCTAAAGGAAACTATAGGGGCCCGCATAAGAGAGCGGGTCACAAGTACTGTAAAATCTAAAATAAACTGGATCCCACACCTTTCACTTTGAGCTCAAGTATCTCTGCTCCTGTAAAAGATATCAAAAAGTTGTCAACTAATAAAATGTTATTGATATTACGATAAACATTTTATCAGTTGAGTACTTTTTGATATCTTTTACGAGAATCGAGAAAACTGAGCTCAAAGATGACTGTTTTGGTGGGATTTTATCACAAGTTTTAAAATAAATTATTCATTATTTTATTTCATATTTTATATCATTCTGATTCACTTGAAATTTCCTACAAAACTAGCCAAAAATCAACTTTCTAGCTAAATTTTAAAGCGAGTTATGCGGCTTTGAAGTTTGGCGAGAGCGCAGAGAAGCGAGAGTGTCTGCGTCTCTCACCTTCTCAGCTCAAAATACTCCGTTTTGAGTAATTTTTGAAGTTTTAACAATCCAAAAAATGACTTTTTCAGAGTTCGTCAATTCAAAATCGATGAAAAAGGTGCGGTGGTGTCTCGCGGGGACTCGTTCCGTCGTAAACGTACACCAACCTATAAATCCGACAAATCCCCATCACCGTTCCCAGTGTCTGTGTCCACCGATTCTGCCAGAGGATCCAGATCCGAGTCGGAAGCCAGTGAGCCACCGATTTCTGATGATTTGGGAAAAATGACAATTAACGATTTGACGAATGCATCGACTAGTCATAAGACCTACAAGGTACGTGTCATTTTTAGCCTTTTTTTGACCTGGAATTTTTCGAAAAATCTTCAAAAATCTAGCTCAATGTTTTCAATTTTTCTGAAAATTTAGGGGTGTACTAAACAAAACTAGAAGAACATTTTTCTGGTTGACAACTTTTCCTGAAAATCAAGTTCTAAGGAGATACGCCACGTGGAAGAGGGCATACCTAGCGCCGCGCCCATCCAAGCGAGGGTGGTGGGCGTCAGAAAAGAGGTGCACTTAGGTGGCATATCTCCTTAGGATCTGATTTTTGGAAAAAGTTGTCAACTACAAAAATGAAGCCCATGACTTGTTTAGTAAACTACAAAATTTTTCTAGTGGCCTAGATTTCCTAAACATGAAAAACTAGTTCCTCAATAATTTTTTTTTTCAGATCTATGTTGTTGGAGACACTGGGACCGGAAAAAGCTCGTTGATTTCTCAATTGATCACTAGCGAGTATAAAAATGCGTTTGCTGATGAGATTCGTAAGTTTTTCTTCTTTTTTGACTCGATTTTGAACCGGCTGAAAATCTTAAAAGAAACTGAAAATACGGGAAAAATGCCATTCGTTCAAAATAAGTCAAATTTGATGGCCTACAAAAGTTATTCAAAGTTTTTCGATTTATCTATAATTTTCAGAGTATACTAAACAAAACTTGAGCTTCAAATGTCTAGTTGAAACCTTTTTGAAAAATTAGGTCCTGGGGAGATATGCCACCTTTTCGGCGCCCACTCCCTCGCTAGGGTGGGCGCGCCTTAAGGTATGCCCTCTTCCACGTGGCATATCTCCCCAGGACCTGATATTTTGAAAAAGTTGTCAACTACAAAAATAAAGCTCTAGTTTTGTTTAGTATACTCTGAAAAAACAAAAAAAATTGAAAAAAAAATTCAAGCAGTTTTGTAGACATTTGAAAAAATCGAATTTTTCAAAAAATGACCTCAAACCAAAACTTTTTCTTTAGGCTCTAATTGACCAATTTTTAAGCCGAAAAAAACTGTCAACTAAATTCTTTATTTCAGAAGACTACGAGAATACAGTATCCATCAATTTGGGAGGTGTCGAGTGTGATTTGGTCTTCTTCGAGTCGGATTTGTCAGACGCCTGCTGGCTGACAAATGAAGTACACGCCTTCCTGGTCGTCTACAGTATCGATTCGAAATCCAGCTGGAAGCAGGCGGTGATGGCTTTGGAGGTGAGCAATGGACTACAAACTACAAGAAATTTGAGAACTTTTGAGCTAAAAATGAGATTTATATAGTGATTTTGAACCGAGTTATGACTCTTCTTTTCTTTTTTTTGATCCTAACAAGACTACAAAGACTACAAACTACAAAAATTTCAGATGATTCGTGATCGTCCGGACTGTCGTAACATTCCGACACTAGTGGCTGGCAACAAAATTGATTTGGAGAGAAAACGAACGGTGACCAAAAATGGTATTTTTTCGAAAATTTTCAGGGTTTTAGAGTATTCAAAGTTTTTGGATTTTTCTGAAATTTCTATCATCTACTAAACGAATACAGAGCTTTATTTTTGTAGTTGGGACCCTTTTTAGAAAAATCAAGTCCTAGGGAGATATGCCACGTGGAAGTGTACCTCTTTTCTGGCGCCACCTTCCTCCTCCTCTTTCGGGGCGCCACACGGGAAGGCGCTCTTCCACGTGGCATATCTTCTCAGGACCTAATTTTTGGAAAAAGTCGTCAACTACAAAAAGGAAGCTCTAGTTTTGTTCAGTATACTCTGAACATTTCAGAAAAATCCAATAAATTTGAGCTAGCTTTTCAGACTTTCAAAATTGTCATTTTTCGCCGGAACTCCAAATTTTTTGGCTTGTTTTGGAAAAATTGGCATATCTCCTCAGGACCTAATTTTCCAAAAAAGTTGCCAACTACAAAAATAAAGCTCTAGTTTTGTTTAGTGGGTTCCGCAAGTCTCAGAAGAATTGAACAATTTTGAACTAGTCGAAAGGGGCTGTAAACATAATTTTCGGCTTGCAAAACCTTTAAAATGGTTTATATGCTTAAAATTGATTTTGGTTCCTTTTCTTGACTTCATTCAGTAGATTTTTCTGTATTTTTTTTGAAAAATTTTATTTTCTGAAACTGAAAGTCTTTTTTTCAATTTCTTCCACCTCAAATCCAGCATTATTCTTCCAGAAGTCCGCTCAACTCAAGCCGCTTACGGTTTCGCTGATTTCGAAATTTCCGTCGCGCTAGATCACGATGTCGATGATTTATTGATTGGATTAGTCGCTGAAATTCAGGAGGCGTTCGCTCCAGAAATAATTCTTCATAAACCATCGCCACGTCATCACCCCGTTGACGACTTCCACAGTGCCATCAGAAGATACTCGCAGAGAAAGAAGAAGGCGCCGTTGAACGACTTGGAAGGAGGTAGATACACTTTTTTGGGAAAAATTTAAAAACTATTTAACAAATAAAAAATTTTAAAAAAATTAAAAATTTTATAACTTTTTAAAAATTTGAAAATTCCAGGAAAATGCTCGGTCCTCTCACCAACCGGATTATTCGCCAAATTCAAGAATTGGCGACGTGGCAGCACTCCGCGAATAGAGACCAACTAATTAAGCACCGCCTAATTGCACACCCAATTCAATTTTTTGTCCCCCAAAATTTGCATTTCTTGCTATCCCACCAGAATAAGTACCAAAATTAATTACTAATTGTTTTTTTCTTCAAAAATGCCAATAATACAAAAGTTTAAGTCCCGCCCCCCTTTTTTTCATGCCGCCTAGGCGAATTTTTGAACAAAGTTTGACCTAATTTGCATTATAATTCCTATAAATATCACCCAAATAATCAATAATTTGAATTTTTAAATAAAAACATTTTTTTTCAATTTTCGTGATTTTCCAAAAATAAATATCACATAAAAAATCAATAAAATCGATAAAAAATCAAAAAGTAGATCAAAAAATGACTAGATCTTCATCCTTGAAATATGTGCACATGATCGCTGGAGATGTTCAGAGTGTCGAGAGCGCTGAAAAATACATTTTTTGTGAAATTTTTGACCCAAAAACAGCTTCAAAAAATTTTTACTGAGGCTTAGCAATTCTTGTAGTTTGTAGTCACTTAGCCTCAAACGCAAGGGTCATTACTGAAGCTTGATGACTACAAAATACACGGCTTTAGCCTCAGTAAAACTAAAAACTCGCTTTACACCGGCTCATTTTAAACCGTTTTTACTCGTTTTTCGCAGTATTGAGAGACTACAAACTAGAGAAATCTCTAGGCCTCCGTAAAAATTTCAAATTATTATTTTTCTTTGAAAATTTGAAGAAATTTGAGCCAAAAATCACTGAAAACGCGTTTTACTGAGGCTTAGAGAATTTTGTAGTTTGTAGTCAGCTTCAGAGAAACACATATGCTTATTGACTTTACTGTAGCTTAATGACTACAAACTACGAAACTTAAAGCAACAGTAAACCTTCAATGTGATTTTCACTGAAGCTTAGACTACAAACTACAAAAAACCTAAGCCTCAGTGAAACTTTAAAAAGCTTTATCTCGGCTCATTTTCAACCGTTTTTGCTCGTTTTTCGCTGTATTGAAAGACTACAAACTACAGAAATCTCTAAGCCTCAGTAAAAACTCACTTTTTAGCAGCCATAATGAATCCATCGGGTCCACAAATGAACGCTCTTCGCGCTCCTGATGACGTGGCAATTATCGATTGAAGGAGATCGCCAGAGACTCGTCCGTGCAGTTGATGCTCAGATTCTTCGGTTTTCGGCGCGGAGAGAATGTTTCGGAGCTGAAAATGTGGAAATTTTGAGATTTTTAAAAGAGACTACAAACTACAAAATTTATAAGCCTCAGTAAAAATAATTTTCTCTCATAACTTGGCTCAAAACCATTGTAGAAACCTCATTTTTGGCTCAAAACTTGTCAAATTTTTTGTAGTTTGTAGTATTTGTAGTCTCTGTTTAAATCTTACAAGAAATCCAAAAAAATTGTTCAAAAACTTAAATGTTGAATTTTCTGAATTTTTCAAAAAAAAAACCCAACCAACCACAATTTTTTGATTTCCCTCGTTCTCTTTCCAATAATCCCCAAGTTTCCACAGATTTTTCACGTCTTCTTCTGGTGACGTCGTCTGAATATCCTCTTCCGTCTTATTGAACATCAAAAGATAGACTTCTGAATCTCCTCCCGACGTCTTCTGAATCCGTCTCTCCAGAATATTAATCATCGGCGTTAGACCACTTCCAGCAGCCAATAAAATCAATTGTTGCGAATTCTCAACCCATCCAGTGAAGTCTTTCTCCCCAATCGGATCACTGATTTCCAGCTCATCGCCGATTTTCAGATTCTCCAGAGAAGGCGTGCAGATTCCATCTGGGTAGATTTTTATCATCAAATCCAGATGACGTGGGTTTGAAGATGCGATTGGTGTATACGGACGATATAGGACAGCGTCTGGAAGAAAAATAATTTTTGGCTGCAAAATTCAATTTTTCAATAATTCACTTAGACTGCAAACTACAAAAAAGGTTCTAAGCCTCAGTAAAAGTTTTTTTTCAAAATTTCAAAAATCTTCTCTCTTTTTTTGGGTTTCTGAGGCTTTGAAGAATTTTTGTAGTTTGTAGTCTTGCAAAAACGGGATTTTAACACAAAAAAAAAGAAAAATTCGATTTTTTTCGCAAATTTTCGAAAGTCAAAATTGATTTTTTCTCCGATTTCCCGCAAAAATTGTAGACCTTTTTAGGATTTTCAGCTATTTTTAAAAATTATTTTTCGATTTTTCCGAATTTTCTTGTCTGAAATTTGGGGGGGGGGGGGGGGTACGACGAATTCGAACGTTTTCAAAATCGAACAGACCTAAAATCGAACAGATTCAATTCAGAACAGTCCTTTTTTCGCACACGTACCAGAACAGAACGCGGACAGAATCAAACTG